TCACACCGCTTGGGTTGTTTCAGCTCGCATTTTCCTCCCCTCACATGTGAAGGCATCACGATGGCTGTCTGAGTCCTGCAGTTAATATGGGTGCACGGGTCCATAATGGTACATTGTAAGTGAATGTCTCAGGGTAGACAGCAATAATAATTAGCTGTCATGATTTGAAAAAAGGATAATCCATGCCATTGAGTTAACAATCACTCACACAACACACATGGATTTAACTAATCTTAATTTGGAGAAAAATAACAATTCTAAATATATCAAATAGCCTATTTCATGGCAACCTACGGCGGTGTTTATCTCTGGCTTCCAGCACATGCGAGTTATTTAGTTTCTCTCACTGGCAGTTTTACCATTCAAAAGCCTGAAATGAACATTCATGGAGCAGGGGTTGCAGTTAAATCCTGCCTCTGACAGGGAGCCTTTTTTCACGATGCACATCTAGTTCAAGTACAATGTGTGGAGCCCAGCATTGGTGGCCGGGACAGGATGAATGAGGAATTCCAATCAACTCCTTTCCTAGTACTATCCTTGCAGAAATTACTCACTGTCTTAATGAACCTCTGCTGCTGCTGTCATTATGTGTCTGTGAGGGTACGCTGGCCCGAAGGTGCAGATCTGTCAGTGAATCTGGAGGTCTGTTCCAAGTGGTGCCTGCCCCACAGAGATTCCTTCCTCTCTGCCAGGGTTCTATGAAACCATCCAGCATTAAAAGCAAGCTGGCTGCCTGGTACTTTTTATTTAATCCGGATCATTTCAGAGAATCCTACTAACAAACAGACTGGTGGCCCATGAGCCCAGCAGGACCATGGAGAGGAGAGGAGATATTATCAGTCAAAGGACAGTGGAAGCATATTTCCCAGGTCATTCTTCAGCCAGGACAGGTCACTTGGTTACGCCCAAGATCTGATAAGTGTGAAAGATAAAAAGATATATAAAATACAACAGTGGTCTAATTTTTTTCCAAAATACCTGCCAGCGGTGAAGTAAAAGGAGCAGTGCCTGATAACTCCTAGCCAACTCATTGGCTGGGCTATGTTTTGCTATGCAACAATCTGGTACATCTGTTCGATACTATCACACCCTCTGTACAAGAGGCAGAACTGATTTTCAAACAGGTCAGCCAATTTAAAAAAGAACAAAAAACAAAAAAAAATCAAAAAACTTTTTTTAGGGCAGATTGCTCCTAAGCAAGTCACATCCTCCTAATGCCAGCTAACATGCTACCACACATCTCACGGACAGTGGTAACTAAATGAAAACACCTTGAAAAGCTTGGATTTGCAAGTTACCAGGCAGGGAAAGATGACAGATTTTATTATCATAAGATCTCTAAAAGCTGATTGCAGAGACAAAGTTGCCTTTGTCTCTACCGAAATATAGAAACTTCAGCCGGAGATCTGTGTTGCATGCATACAATTTGTTGCAGACTCCTGAGCTCTACCTGCCTGCCTTAAAGCAGCACAAGGTCTGTTGTGTGGTCGAGAAGCATTCAGTGACAGGTTCAAGAAGAGCTACCAAGAAAGAAAAAAAAAAAGAAAAAAAAAAAAAAAAGACAAAAAGAAACAGAGGAGGAAAGACCTCAGGAATACCCTGTGCCAGGATGAATGCTCAGCACTGCATCCCAATATCCTCACACCCAGTGGGAAGAGAGGTGCAACGGCAGAGCCAAACTCAGCACCTGACATACCCTCACTTCATCCAGCCATGGGAAGACTTCAGGTTTGACGGCTTAATCACACCACAGAAGGCCATACAAATTATTTTGACCAAATAAGAAGGTCTACAAAAATAACACAAGATCAAGGAGAGGAGCTGAAACATCTTTGAGGACAGCAGTGGTGGCAGCATATTTCAGGGAGCCGAAGTGGAGAGTGGGTGATTTCTGGTTTCCCTCTTCAAATATAAAGACTCAATTATCTTTGAACAGCTTGCTTTACACATGAATTGACACATTTATTTTACAATAAATAACTGAAAGTTATCTATGTTTCCTTTACTGTTAATCTACACAAAGAAATAATAAACAGAGCTTGTCTACAAAAATGCAACTACTGCAGTCCTCAGAATTCAATTAAGCTAAAATAATTAATGCTCCCACCATATTAAATTACTTTATACATTTGAGCCACTGAAGTTTTTTTTTATTATTCTTTAATCTTTTTCGCCTTTTTATTTAATAAAAAAAAAAGTTAGTTTCAAAGGGGGGGGCTGGCTAGAAGGGGGAAAAAGAGCATGATTTGCTGTTAAAATGTAATGGTCTCCTTTAGCTGACACAGCATGTAGAGTGTTTTGTGCCTTTGATTAAAATAACATTTTAAATGCTTTGAACAAACATATCTCCCCATACTTCTAAGGGATTATTTTACATATTTCTTGGTGGAATAAAGAAATTCATTCTTCCTGTCGCAGTACAGAAAGGCTAAGAATATCTTTCGTCACATATAAAGTAAAAATACTGTAGGCTGTTGCATTATTACAAAAAAAAAAAAAAAAAATAAAGAGAGGGGGTGGCAGGGTAGGAGAAAGCTGCCTTAGAGATTAAGTTTCCCTTTTATGAAATCGTATTTAGTCTCTTTTTTTAACAAATCTAACAACAATGCTCTACAGCCGCTCACTGGGAAATACCTTTAATGTTAAATGCAGATTCTGATTTTCTTGGCTAATGCAGAAAGCCTTTCTATTGAAATATAAATAAGGGGTTTGGTATATCCCACTAAAGCCTTTCCAGTGAATGACTTCTGTGGGTTTTTCATGGCTACCCTCCATGGCTGTAATGTGAGGCTTTTATCCTACTATTGAAAACTATCCGCTGCTATTAAAAAAAATATGGAAGGACACTGCACCTTTTTATCTCAGAGCTGGGCTCCTAATTGAGAAAGCATTATTACTGCACTATTTAGTGGATGTCCCTATCTCCATGCACTGCTGAGAAAATGCCAATCAAATGATAAACCCTTTTATTTTTCTCAATTCAAAATCTTTTCTACATATTTTCATTTGATATTCAGTTTAGTCTGAAAGAGATTAGGTGCTCCAGATTGGCTTTTAATTTTTTTTTTTTTTTTTATGCTTTTCCCACATGTGAACATCCCCTTCACCCCCTCCTCCCCTTGCAGTTTTTCTGCATGGCAAAAGTGTTGGTTACGTTGATGCTGACCCCTGGAAGCTGGGATGGGACAGCACCGTCTGCACTGGACTGTTGAGGTACTTCACTATGGACTGAACTTGGGCAGAGATCAGTCAGGGATGAGCTCTGGACTGCAACTGCAGCACAGGTCTCCTGAACCAACCTTACTAAGCACTGGGCACCTCTGCAAGGGGCTGAGCACCATCAGTTTACAGGGGGATCAACAGTTATGGAGAGTGCTCAGCATCACTCAGACCTTCAGCAGACCGGAGGAGAACGTGCTGAATGCTTCTCTTCTGCTCCTACCGAATGGCAAGGAAATCTAGCCTTCAAATCTGCTACACCACAATGTAGTCATCTCTACCAAGAAATGCATTCACAACTGAAAAAGGATGAGGAAAGCTGAAAAAGGAGGGGGAAAGCTGAAAAAGGATGACAAAAAATAGGGAGGGTCAGGTTTTACAGTAGGGTTGCTTACAATGCTACAGCACAGGCTGCCACACATAATGCCCCCAAAGCTACCAGCTGTTCCATGCCAAGATGGTGGCTGCACCCAAAAAAGATTCTTAGAAGGAAACAATGTAGTCAAGGGGTAGCATATACTCTCTCCTAAACGACAGCATGTCTGACGACTGCAGCATTTCAAAGCCGGCATCCTCACTTACGTGATGCCCAAGCTTGTCAGAGATGCTGGGGGCTGATTCAGAGACCTCCAGCACTAAAAGCAGGAATCGCTCCAGCTTCATTGGTAAAGATAGGAGCCTCTCACTAGTCTTCCGGGGATCACCTCATGGGAACATATCTACTACAGGCAGGATCCTGGACTGTCAGATCTAATCCCATGGGACAATTCCTAGAGAAATCAGGACAGTGGCAGAAAGACAAATTGCCACTGATCTTCTGTATGGGATGCAGTTGATTTGAACAAAAAAGGCCCATTTCAGGGGAGATCCTGCTGTGTAACATAAAACTCCCATTCACCAGCAGGGAGTAGAGTCTTCCTTTCACCACTGTAGAGGGGAGATATGCCCTGCGCGATGGAAGCAGCCCCACGCTGGGAACTCTGCAGGAACCACTGCATGTCAGCTCTCCCAGATAGATACCATCACTCTTCTGCCCACCTCTGAGCAAGGGAGGTCCACTGAATGAATGTTAACTGCACCACATACAAGAGCTTTAGAAAAAGAAATGCCTGCAATTTTCCCACCCAGGCCAGCCTGTGCTCTTGTATCCTCATTCAGAAGACCATTTGGGGTGTGCATGTGAATGCAGGTGTTGCCTACCCAGCCTGAGCCATCTACACAGACCCAGGACAGGCAGCACAGGCAGAAGTGCAGGCCAGGAAGCTGACATCTATCCCAGAAAAAAAAAAGCAAGGATTTAGTGAACCCCCGCTTCAGCCCTCACGACAAAATCTTCTTCCCACTAACAGTCAGTGGGAAGACGATTTTTCCACTGACTTCACTAGGGTCAGGATTTAATCCTTGCCAGTGAGTATGCATGTGACAAAAGGTATTTGAACTGAACTGAGCGCCTCACCGAAGTCCCCTGTCCCTTCACCACTTCTACCTGCTTAAGGATGCTCATCAAATATTTTCTGACTCCAGCTTTCAGCTTTTTCCCACGTGTACAGGCTGGGGTTTCTTGGAGAACTGAGAGGCCCCTTTCTCCAGCAGCTGGTCCTGCACAGACAGCTACACTGAATTAAACATGGGATGGACAACCCTGCATAGCCGTGAGGATTCTCCAGAATGGATGGTTCCTATAAAGACCTGTTACTGAAGTCTGTGTTTCATGGCACTTTCTAGAGGACCCTAGTTAAAAGATTACCTAGGCAGTTGATTGAGTGTAAAACGTGCTGTACCTGCAATGTTCTCCTGCTTGGGGCAAATTCCTTTTGTAGGCGTGAGAAGACGGTCTTCTTCATCGGGTGTGACTTGGATCCCGATTTCCACTGGCTCTGACACTTTCCTGAGCTCGGCGCGAGAGGAGGGGGGAGGGCTGCTCTTATCCATGCTCTTTTCATAGCAGACACCACCAGTGCCATTGCACTGTTTTCTCTTGTGCTCTATAAAAACCAAGATGTCTCCTAACGGGAAGTTCATCTGACACTGTCCACAGGTTAACAAGTCGGGGTCTGTCCCGCCTGAAGCGATGCTGATGCCGCTTGGGTCTGCTATTGCCAGGCTCTCATCCTCGTCGGCCAGTGCCGGTTCCACATGGTCAGCCTCTGCTTTGCAGGGACAAGGGGAAAGAGGGAGGAAAGGGATGAAGGGAAAAGAGAAAGAGATTGCTTTGAGTGTTCACAGACTCTGAAGGATGCATCACCAGAGGCCCAGCCTTCCCCCACCCCCTGAAGAAGTCAAGCCTGATTAGATCTTTCTTTTATTTTTCAGCTTTTCCGCTCTCCCAGAATGATTTCAATATATTTTGCAACCAAGCCTGCCTGAAACAAAATGGAAAGGCTGACCTGGCATAGCTTTCCTGACAGCTCCTTCCCACTGCTGCCAGCACTGCAAGGATATCAGCAAAGAGCCATTTTGCAAGCGTTCGAGCCTCGAGTCACATTCTGAAATAGTTACTCTCTTTTTATCCCACCTTCTCATTCCCATCGCGTCTCCCAGCCATCTGGCCAAGGCCCCATCCAGCAAAGCTCATGCACCCAAACCTCTCCTCCTTTTTCAGAGAGAGGTGGAAAGCTTGTATGCTCCAAACTACCAGGACCAGGTTCCCCATGACATACAAAATTAGTACCACCTTTCCTGTTACAAAGTTACCGTCAAGATTAAATGACCACCCATAAGCACGAATTACAGAAAACTATTTTTAAGAGTAAGGTAAGCAGGATATGGTCACATAAGGGATTTCAAAAGTCTGTACAGTGGGAAAGGGAACGAGGCACTTATTTAACATACTGGAATATTGGCTGAGCCTGAAATCTTCCACTCTATTTTTCTGAAGTCAAGTAACCCTGCTGTTGCTATATAGGTTAAATTTCTTATTTAAATTTTGCCCAGAGACCTGATGAATTTCATACCTTTACCCCCAAGGCTGGGAAAGAATTTCTGAGTGACCTGCATCAATTTCTAGGAAATATGCAACTTCTCATTTCGTAATTATTAAAAACCACCGTGTTTTTAATGGGCATTTATAAGATAATTCTTACATTATAAAATAATTGTGGATCACAATCCATTTCTGAGGCAAAACATGCTTGGGGGTTTTTCTTCTCTTGTTCTACCATGTAACTGCCAAATCATACAAACCTTGGACTTTACTCAGGCAAAATTTCCACTGACTTTTGCCTAAGGCTGGTTTGCCTCTGCAAGGACTATAGGATTTGGGCTGAACAAAACAGAAGAACTAACAGTATGTAAATCAGTGACTGAGACCTCTAATCGAATCAGGGTTAAAGGAATAGGAGAAAAAATGTTGTCTATTAGCCCAAGCGGTTTCCTTATGGATTTCCTGGGGAAAGTAAGTCACACAAATATCTCAAAAAAGTAAGACTGTGATAAACAGATGTTATAATCCAGATCTGGACTCTTCTCCAGTCTGAAAACAAAAGGATTTCTGTCCCACTCTTCAGCAATTGCAAAAAAAAAGAAACACATAGGAAAGAGACAAACGGTAGAACCTGGCAACACAAATGGTTGCGGCTTGAAAAAAGGTAGTTTAGAAAAAGAATCACTCCCATTTTTGCCTTCCAGAATAAATAATTGATTAGCATATCTACCAGTGGTATTACAAGTTGCATCAGAGCTCCCTAACAGCAAAGGGGAGAGCAGCAGCAGCAGCACCAGCGACGGCAGAAAAGGGCAGGGACCCCAAAGAAGTGCCCGAGCGTGGACCATCCTGCTGGAAAAGATGACGGGCACAGGAAGGCTTCTGTTTCCAAACTCATTCATTCTGAAAAGCATTCATTACCTTTTTCCCCTTAATCTAAGTTTAAAAAGAGTTTGAAGACAATACTAAGCAATTAATTCACCAATTTGTATCATGAAAAGATGCCTCCTTGCCTAAATGAAAATGTAACCATAACCCTGTGCTGAAAAGGGACTGCTGGGAAGGGAGCGGGTGCCTGCGAACAGCGTGTTACGATGCAAAAGGTAATTATTTAGTGCTGTGGTTCCCTTTAATGATCTAACATTGAGCAATATTGTTTATATTGAAGAGAGCTTGCACCTTTAATTACCAATTATATATACATCATTTTAGACCCAAAAGAAAAGGACTGTGAAAAGGTTCCTTTAGAAAAGTGCAAGTTATTTGTAGCCAGAATTCCTATTAAGGGGGAGCAGTGTGTCAAAATATTAAAAAAAAAAAAAAAAACATACAGAGAGGCACACACAGGCACAGAGATACACACACGGGAGATGGGACAAAGAGCTGAAAAAGACAACACGAAAACAGGAACTGAACCAAGGGTCATAAGAAAAAAGGTGGCAGAGGAGAAAAAGGTTTATTACTAGTTTCACTAACGTTCCTGTAAAGCCTTCAGATTCAAGTCTGTGTCTTAAATTACAAAGACTGAATTTTGGCATTTATATATGTGTAACAAATAAAAAGAAAAGCATAGACCTCAACTTTATTATCTTTTTGATGTGAAAATTATTTTTTTTTGCCTGCAATTTAAATTGTGCTCTTCAGAAAACATAGCAAAATTGCTGCATTTGATAAGGGTCCTGACCAGGCATCTGCGGAAACATGAAGGAGGTCTGAACAGCTAAACTGTTACAAATTCTTTTTTTTTTCAGTTATACACTTCATTTGAATATTAGTTAAATCCACATATGCCTATTCACTTACACTCGCTCACTCTCTTTCCAAGGACTCTGCAATGGCACTTTTTTAAAATAACATCTGGTATTCCTTCATATTTTGGCAGTCGTCACATCACCGAAAATCAGCTTTTCGTTTTCTTGGTATGCCGAGCCCTCGTGATCTGTAGTAATTGGGTTTCAAACTATCAAAAGATTTTTTTTTTACTCGACTCTATTTCTGATTTGAGCTTAATAAATCATCAAGCATGAGACCAGCTATTCACCCAACAATGCAGAAGCTATATTACATCCCCTTATTCAGGACATGGAAAACAGACATAAAAGAATGAAAAACAAAATACTGAACAGATCTTCAAATGCATTTTATCCATGTCAATTTGCATTTGGTTTTTTTTACTTGGAATAAAAAAAAAAAAAGGCTTCCTATTGACAACTCAATTAAGCCATTAAAAACCTACATTCAAGTAACATTACAGGAGAGATTTAAAACCCACAAAGGAAAAGAGAAAAAAACCTGCAAGTCCAGCCCATAACGCATCGGGTCATGCCTGGTTAATACAACAGCCAAGATCTTAGGCTGTTTAAGGAGTCCTTTAATACCAAAGGGGCAATTTAGGCCAGTCTCAATCTAAAGTTCTGACTCTACTTGTGTCTGTGGGTTTCAAATGAGTCGCTTCACATTATATGAATTTAACTCTGTGGTTTTATTGCTGTTGTTGTTGGTAGCTGGGTTTAGAGGGAGGAGGGTGTTTCTTCACAAGTATTTATTTAAAATTAATTTCTATTTTTTTTTAAGAAGAAGAAATCAAGCCACACACACACACAAAAAAAGGAGAACTAAAAACATCTCATCTCCCTTACATGGAAAAAGGGAAAAAAAAATGCAAACAAGATATTTCTAGACAAGACTCATGCCCTGGTTCTTCCAAATGTGTTAAGGTGTGCCCAGCATTTTCCCTGCATCCAGAGATTCTTCCAAAGAGGATTGCCTTGGCATTGCCTGCCTAGGGAACGTGGTGAGTCGGCAGTGGGCAATCTAAGGGGACATAAGTGACAATGCTGTTATATGATGGCTTCGTGAAATTAATGCAACTGGACAATCTAAATCATTTGCTTTACTTAAAAAATCATTACACTTGCTGACTGGACTCCAAGCTCTCTGGCTGCCTACCACACGAAAATACAGTGGACAAACCCCTTAATTCCATAAAGGCACTGTCACAAAGCCACCAGCACTCCTACTCCAGTGTGGTGACATCATTAGAGCATATGTGCCCCGTGCAAACAATGTTCTCATGCCCAGTATTAAAGTGAATGCACATGCTAACTACTTTCTGCCTGTCAGTTGTCTCAAAATCATACCCATTAATAGTGGAAAAGACTGTGTTCCTAAAAATCATTTCCAAGGCCTCGAAGGACAGAACCATGGATGCTTGTTCGCAGGGTTTGGGTCCCGGCAGCAATCATTTATTTTCTGGCCTTTTTATTGCACTGCAGAGCCCGGGTAAGAAGGGCTCAAAAGTTGCCAACCTATTCTCCTTATTTTTCCTGTCCCGCAGTATCAAAAGGAGGCAGAGCAAGGGAGGAGAAGGAACATTTTGGTGTCAGGCATGTGAAACCTGCCCTCCGTGGCTGGTTTCTGTGCAAATCAGTAACAGGGTGATGACGGTGAGTGCTGCCACTGCCTTCACCTCAGAGCTGCTGCTAGATGCCCTGCCTGCTCTACCACAGCCACTACCCTCCCTTATACCCACCTGGGGGACAAAGCGCAGGCTACCCCAGGGTCCACCCTTCTCTGGGACAAGCTGAGGTTGCCCAGGGTCCACCATGAGGACACAGCTCCTGGTGCCCAGGCACAGGAAGCTGCCCACCAGTGTGCTGCAGCACATCAAGTGCCCTGTTCTCCTCACACAGTCACTGTTGCCTTGGAGGCACAGCCAGAGAGAGCTCAGCCTAGATGGGGAGCGAGCACAAAGAAATGACTTGCTCTTCAGGGTGTTGGCCCAAAGCAGGCCTGAAAATGATGTCCCTTCAATCAACACCCACATGTCACATTTACTGTAGCATCAACATGCTTAACGGAAATAGCTCGAATCACACGCTCTCTGGCTGGGTTATCACTGAGATCAGAGTCAGGATCCTTGCTGCACAAAGACTAACGCCGCTCAAAGCGGGCGACGTGGCTCCTTGCGTCGAAGTTTATCAATAACCTGCTTCCAGAGCCTCCCAGCAGCTCCTGCAGCTGCAAGGTGCAGAGTTGAGATTATACCTACATATTGCATCAGTATCACACTCAGCGACACTAGGCACAGCTTATCTGCCACCAATTTTTAATTTTCTGCGGAGGACTGTAAAACAATTGTTTGTAGTATCTTTTCTTTCCTAAATAAAAATCTGAGGCTGAGTTGGCTAAAGGAGGCAACTTGCTGGAGGAGCCCCAGAAACA